GATCAAACTCAGTTTAAAACCCAGATTAGGAACAGTTTAGAACCAGTTTAGAACCAGTTTAGGAACAGTTTAGAACCAGTTTTGAAACAGTTAAGAACCAGTTTACAAACAGTTTGGAACCAGTTTAGAAACAGTTTAGAACCAGTTTTGAAACAGTTTAGAACCAGTTAAATGAATAGTTTAGACCCAGTTTAAACTCAGTTAAAAACCAATATAAAAACAGTTTAGATTAAAGATTACTTGAAATCACCCTTTAAAACCGGCTTAAAACTGGTTTAAACTGGTTCTAAACTAACAAAAACATTTTAGCTGCTCCCCATCCTTTACGGTTGCAGTAACTTGTTGACGTAAAAGACAAGAATAGAATAAGTTATCACCTATTTTTTAAAGTAAATTATTAAAATTTGACAAGAATTTCTTCCAGCTAATATTCAATATTAGGATTACTGTTAAAACACAGGGATTTGTGATCAATTTTTCTCAAAATTTAAATTGAGTTAAATATTACTTGGAAAGCAAATTTTTTGATATGAGTATTTAACAATTTTTACAATTTTCATAAATTATACATATCATACATTGTTTTATGACTAGATATTTCAGTTCTTTTCGCCATTTATACATTTCTTGTCTTTGAGCTTCTTCTAGCGTTTCGGGGACCGATAAAAGAACCAAGCACAGGCCACAAATTTAAATTTTCTAATCCTTATTTATTTGCAACCTGATAACCTTTCATATTTTAAACTTTTAATTCCATTAAACCATCAGGGTTTAGAATATTAGAAGTTGTGGCAAGTGATCAGAACCCTTTGAGAAAATGATAATAATAAAAAAGTCCAAAGGCAAAAATATTTGTAAATAAACTAAAGTGAGATTTTAATGAGGGTTAAAACAACAACAACAGTCTTTACAAATTATCTTGATTTTTGATTATTTGCAGTTTTATATTGATATAAATTTGCAATATATAAGTTAAAATTCCTTAAATATTCAAAAATTCGAGTTTAAAATTTTCAAAACATTTATCTGTGTATCTACATGAAATGGTAAAATTTAAATTTTAACATCAAATTTGTTGAACAACTTGGTTTTATGAATTTTGTGTACATAAATAGATTAACATGGAAGGCTTGAATAGATTAATATATACCAAAATGTTGATCTAAAATGCTTGTTGCGCCCTTTATGAAAATATTATTAAGTTTCCTTCTTATAATCAGATAATTTTTACGACAAATTTCGTGATAAAATCCTTTAAAAACTTTTATGGCAGGAGATTGAAATGTCAATAGCCATTGGGTTGCAAAAATACAGGGATTAGAACATCAAAGTTAGTGGCAAGAACACATGTTCCTTTAAAGGTTAAAAAGCAGTGGAATTAACAACCTTCAACTGTTCTTCGGCATTATTTGTAGATTACTGTTAATAATTTAGGGCATTATTTTAAACTCAAATCAAAATTTTCATAAAATAACAAAAATAAAGAAGCAATTTAACAATACGGCGTAATAAATTACAACATCGGTTCATACGCAAAAAATTTAAGCGTCATTTTAAAGGATAAACTATGGGGTTTACAATATTTAGAATTATAAACTCTATCTAGCAGCATTATTTCGTCCTTATTACTTTAAGAGTACTAGGGAACTGAGTTTTTGCCACAAACTCCGATATTCTAATCCCTCATTGTCCTATTCATTTGATATTTCAAACTATAAATTCTGTCAGATCAAATATTTGAGCTTGAAATATCAAAGGTTTAGACCATCAAGTTGCAAAGATATAATGATAAATAGTGTGGCAAGAACTCAGCTCCTTTACTGAGATTCTGAATGCCTCGAATACTTTTCACTGCTCAGTCCACTTCAGAACTATAGATTTATCTCCAACCATTTTTGAACTAAATTCACCAAATATTGAAACAAATTTTTTCAAATTTAGATTCTTTTTCCAAAAATAAGATTTTGTTTACATTGCAGAATTTCTGACCCCCCCCCCCCTCAATAATCTTTTAATTTTGAAATTGGAATTTAATAATGGGGCTTTAAATCATTTTACTACAAAGCATTAAATTGTGACACACCGATGCAATTAAACTTACTTAAAAAAACCCTGTTAATTTTCAATTAAAAATTAAAAATCTGAATTTGTGGCGAGAACTCAGTTACTTTGAGAACATTTCAGTTTAATATATATATTTGTGTGCCTTTGGCTTGTGTCTACAGGGTCACCACTCTCAAAGAAGGCTTTAACCTCCCTACTCTCCCCTCGCCTCCTATAACACAATATTCAGGGTTTAACCTCCCTACTCTCCCCTCGCCTCCTATAAAATAATGTTCAAGGTTTAACCTCCCTTCTCTCCCCTCGCCTCCTATAAAATAATATTCAGGGTTTAAGCTCCCTACTCCCCCTCGCCTCCTATAAAATAATATTCAGGGTTTAACCTCTCTTCTCTCCCCTCGCCTCCTGTAAAATAATATTCAGAGTTTAACCTCCCTTCTCTCCCCTCGCCTCCTGTAAAATAATATTCAGGGTTTAACCTCCCTTCTCTCCCCTCGCCTCCTGTAAAATAATATTCAGGGTTTAACCTCCCTTCTCTCCCCTCGCCTCCTATAACATAATGTTCAGGGTTACCCACATATGAGACTCCTGTGAAGACTGGACAAAGTACAGTTTTATTTCCGAGAAAATTCAAGTTTTTTTTTGCAGCTGTTTTTTTTACTCTTTAAATATTTTAAAATACCATATTTAGGACCAAAGTTTTAGATTTTGGTATTACAAATTTTCGGCCTTCGGGTTGTAATTAATTATATTTTGGTGTTAAACATTGTTTAGGTTAGAATTCGAAGTACCTTGTTATTTCAAAACAATTTTAGAATATAAATATTTTTAATCTTCTCAAATAAGTTTTCCATTTCTATCAGAAAGGCAAGAAGATCTTGTTCTTTAATCATATTTATCGAAACGGCTGAACCAAATTTTAAGAATTAACCTCCAGTAAAATTTGATTTTCATTAAATTTTAAAATTAACGACATTTTTATTAAAAAACCACGAACTTTTTTTTCTTTACAGTGTAAACAAAGAGAAAATGTTCACGATTGAAACAGAAAATAGGGGCGAAGCGCCCTGAAAGCCTAGTATATTGAAAACTCATTAGTCAATTAACCTAAATACCTGAGCAAGGTTTGAATCATTTCCTCCAAAGTTTCTCCTGATTTTGAGCTTAGTATTGCAGTTGATCCATCAGGTAGCAATATTCTAAATATCAGGAATTAATCAACATGTTTAATATTGCAGTTGACCCATCAGGTAACAATATTCTAAATATCAGGAATTAATAATCATGTTTAATATTGCAATTGACCCATCAGGTAACAATATTCTAAATATCTGGGTAGGACATCAGTAATATTCTAAATATTTGGGGAGTACATCAGTAATATTCTAAATATTTGGGGAGTACAGCAGTAATATTCTAAATATCAGGGAAGTACATCAGTAATATTCTAAATATCAGGGTAGTACATCAGTAATATTCTAAATATCTGGGTAGTACATCAGTAATATTCTAAATATCGGGTAGTACATCAGTAATATTCAAAATATCAGGGAAGTACAGCAGTAATTTTCTAAATATCAGGGTAGCACCGCAGTAATATTCAAAATATCAGGGTAGTACATCAGTAATATTCTAAATATCTGGGTAGTACATCAGTAATATTCTAAATATCAGGGTAGCACATCAGTAATATTCTAAATATCAGGGTAGTACATCAGTGATATTCTAAATATCTGGGTAGTACATCAGTAATATTCAAAATATCAGGGAAGTACATCAGTAATATTCTAAATATCTGGGTAGGTCATCAGTAATATTCTAAATATCTGGGTAGTACATCAGTAATATTTTAAATATTTGGGGAGTACAGCAGTAATATTCTAAATATCTGGGTGGTACATCAGTAATATTCTAAATATCAGGGTAGCACCGCAGTTATATTCAAAATATCAGGGTAGTACAGCAGTAATATTCTAAATATCTGGGTAGGACATCAGTAATATTCTAAATATCAGGGTAGTACATCAGTAATATTCTAAATATCAGGGTAGTACAGCAATAATATTCTAAATATTAGGCTAGCACCGCAGTTATATTCTAAATATTAGGGTAGCACCGCAGTTATATTCTAAATATCAGGGTAGCACCGCAGTTATATTTAAAATATCAGGGAAGTACAGCAGTAATATTCTAAATATTAGGGTAGCACTGCAGTTATATTCAAAATATCAGGGAAGTACAGCAGTAATATTCTAAATATCAGGGTAGCACCACATCAGTAATATTCTAAATATCTGGGTAGTACATCAGTAATATTCTAAATATCAGGGTAGCACCGCAGTTATATTCAAAATATCAGGGAAGTAATTTTCTAAATTCTAATTTTTTTAGTAAAGTAAAGATGTAAAAAGGATCAGGAAGAAAAGCATTTTTTATAAAGTAGAGGTTATAGGAAAAAACTACAAAGTATGAAAGGAATTTGAAGAAAAGTTTTATAGTAGACATTTGGAAGATCTTAGTAGAGATTAAGGATCAAAAAAAAGATTCTTATACGGGAGAGTTCGAGTGTTCAGCGTTTGCTTAATGAGATAATTGGAAGGAAAGCGTGTTTTATTTGTAAAGATTTGGAAGAAAAAACTAGTCTGGCAAGATTTTGATAAATGAATGTTATTGACATAGAGGAGATGTGATTGACGGAATAAGAGAGAATTTCTCCGAAAGCTGAATTGATTACACAATACTCTGTCAGCAGTTTTTTATTATAGAATTCTTGAGTCAAAGAAATAAAACAGAAAAGAGAAAAATAGAGATCAGAATACAGAAATTAGAAAACAGAGAACATAGATTAGAAATCAGAAAATAGAGAAGAGAGAACACAGAACAGAAAAGAGAGAACAGAGAACAGAGATAAAAAACAGAGAACAGAGAACAGAGAACAGAAAACAAAGAATAGAGAACAGAGAACGGTAAACACAGAACAGAGAACAGAGAACAGAGAACAGAGAACAGAGAACAGAGCACAGAGAACAGAGAACAGAGAACACAAACAGAGAACAGAAAACAAAGAACAGAGAATATAGAATAGAGAACTGAAAACAAAGAACAGAGAACAGAAAAAGAAAACAGAGAACAAGGAACAGAAAACATAGAACAGAGAACAGGGAACGGAAAACAGAGAACAGAGAAAAAGACATTCTTTGTTAATTTTTTGACACACTTTGAAATGAAAAAGTAAGAATAAAACTTTCTCAGTTATTACTTAATATAAATATAAATGTCTAAAATAGGAAAATTAGTTTTATCATTTTTATAGAAAGTCATAAGTTTAAATAAAGTTACCTAAATAGGATTAACTAAACTTTTTAATTAAAAACTTTAAGTATTTATAATTTTTAATGTGATTACAAGAATCTTGTGAAACTTAATCGCAGCATCTGTTGAAATAAAACAAATTTCAAGGGTAAATTTTCCTTTTCTATTATCATCATTTCTATTTCTATCTAAAAAAATTAAAATTTTCTAATATTGAAATGTAACTGCCAAATATCAACCGAAAAAAGTCTTTCCTATAATCGAGTGACTCATACAATGTCTTAAATGAACTCTATCATCCGCTAGTGAACTCTCTATTCAATAGCTCACTTTGGGAACTCTATGTTCGATGCATCACTTTGTAAACTTGTTAGGGAACTTTATGTTTAATAACTCACCTAGTAAGCTGTATCTTTAATGACACACCGAGCGAAATCTGTGGTCAATAACTCTCCTAATGAATCTATGTTCAAAACCTCTCCTAATAAAATCTATGTTCCATAACTCACCTAATGAAATCTGTGTTCAATAACTCACCTAATGAAATATATGTTCAATAACTCACCTAATGAAATCTATGTTCAATAACTCACCTAATGAAATCTATGTTCAATAACTAATCTAATGAAATATATGTTCAATAACTCATCTAATGAAATCTATGTTCAATAACTCATCTAATAAAATCTATGTTCAATAACTCATCTAATGAAATCTATGTTCAATAACTCACCAAATAAAATCTATGTTAAATAACTCACCTAGTAAACTCTTTGTTCATCTATGGAAATTTATTTCAATAATCCACCTGGTGAACTTTGTGTTCAATAACTCACCCAGTGAACGTTATGTTCAATAACTCACCTTGTAAACTCTATTTTCAATAACTCACCTAGTGAACTCTATGTCTGGACAAGTCTGAGCAAGTAAAGCAATGTTTGGAGAGGAAAATGTTCGTGTTGTTAAACCTAAAGGAAACATTAGGAACATAAATGTTTGCATTTCTAGATCAAATAAAAACACAGTACCGTTTGTATGACAAAATCTTTAAAATATAGAAAGAATAAGAATAGTTAACATACATTGATAACCAGAAAACTGTGGAATAGGAAGACGACATTAAAGCAACACTGAAGTGCATTTGATGCTGTTTCAAAGCAAATAGAAAATAACTTGTTAATAACTTACATTTCACAATTGCTCTGTCATGTTCATTGGACTATTTAAAGTGATATATTGAGTCTAAAAGTCTACTTCCTATTCCAGAGTTTTCTGATTATGTTTATATAGTTGAAATTAAAGGAAATATTTACTTTGTGTGGCTAAATCGTATTTATTAAAAAATTTGTTTGGTTAAAACTAAAGGAAAAACATCAATTACGAAAATCTTTATCTAAGTGTCAAAAAAATAAAAAAAATAATCTTAGTTTGTGATTAAACCAATATTAATTACTTTCATTCAGAGAGTGTTATATCCACAATGGTACCAATTTGAATCTTTTTCTGGTCAAAAATGGGAAATATATATATTTGTTATTCAGTGAGTAATTCTTATAATTTATTCCATTATTTCTGTAGTAAGAAATCAGCAAGTAATTTTTAGAGAAACCATAATTAAAAATGATCAGTCTTTAAGGTACAGTTGTTAATCAGACATGTCTAAACTGAAGGAATGCTTGAAGTTAAGTCCATTGAAAAAAAATAAACAATTATTTATTTTATTTTTTTATTCACCTGGAAGATCTGGTTCCCTTTCCTTAGATTTGGGTCGACCTGAAAAACAACATTGTATACTGTATACATTTGACACTTGACACTGGACACTGGACACTCGACAATCGACACCACCAGTTACTGGACACTAGACACTCTACACCAGTTACTGGACACTCGACAACAGTTACTGGACACTGGACTGGACATTTGACACTGGACACTTGACACTCGACACCAGTTACTGGACACTGGACACTAGACACTCTACACCAGTTACTGGACACTCGACAACAGTTACTGGACACTGGACATTTGACACTGGACACTCGACACCAGTTACTGGATACTGGACATTTGACACTGGACACTGGACACTCGACACCAGATAGTGGACATTTGACACTGGACACTGGACACAAGTTACACGACAATGGACACTCGACACTGGATAATCGACACTGGACACTGGTAACTGGAACTTGGACACTCGACCCTTTACACTGGACACTCGACACTCGACACTGGACACTCGACACTGGACACTCGACACTGGACGCTTGACACTGGACACTCGACACTGGACACTCGACACTGGACACTGGACACTGGACACTAAACACTTGACACTGGACACTTAAGACTGGATAATCGACACTGGACACTGGTAACTGGACCTTGGACACTCGACTCTGTACACTGGACACTGTACACTGGACACTCGACACTGGACACTGGACACTTTGTTATATATCTTTGAAAATAGACCACCCTATTATTAGTTCATACAAAATTTTTTTTTTGATATTCAGGCTATCCTACACTTCATGTAATCTCTGTTTATTAATATCCCAGTACTGCACAATGGGGAATTGTTTAATGAGAAAGGAAATAAAGTATGTTTTATTGCTTGGTGTGCACACTAGGCATTAGACAAACAACTAAACCTTCAAGTTTAACACATTTATTTTATTACTAGCTTTATCATAAAGTGGAAACAACAGTAAAATTATAAGGTTTAAATTAGGGGGGAATTTTCAATTTATGAATATTTGAAACAAAAAGTTGAAACATTTAATAGATCTAAACGGTTTTTCCAGGAAATAAAAGCACACACATTTTTTGGTAAACTCACTTCATTTCTACAACTCATTTTTTCTATGTACGTTTTGGCAAATTCCATAATACCGTTTTGCGTAACAAGCATACTTTTCCACATCAATATCTAGGTGTTGGGGCATTTCATCGATGGACATTTCATAGATAATAAATTCATAGATAATAAATTCATAGACAGGACATTTCATAGATAGGACATTTCAAAGATAGGACATTTTGTATTCAAGACATTTCAAAGATAGGACATTTTGTATTCAAGACATTTCAAAGATAACAAATTCATATATAAGATATTTCATAGATAGGAGATTTCATAGATAGGACATTTTATAGATAGGACATTTCATAGATAGGACATTTCATAGATAGAACATTTCATAGATATGACATTTCATAGATAGGACATTTCATAGATAGAACATTTCATAGACAGGACATTTCATAGATAGGACATTTCAAAGATGACTTTGTATAGCAAAAAGTCAGCAATATAATATATTATCAGTTTAAAGCAATAATGTGAATAATATGTAGAGTACAAATTATGGAGAGATTGTGAAAAGATCAGGGTATGATTTATTAGATAAGATTACTTAAAAGAAAAAATAAATTTTCTGTGAAAATATTTTTCTGTCTATGAAATTTTCAGTCTATGAAATGTTCTGTCTGTGAAATGTCCTGTCCATGAAAAATACTATCTATGAAATGTCCTGTAAATAAAATATCTTTTCTATGAAATGTTCTGTCTATGAAATATCTTTCTATGAAATGACTTTCTATGAATTGACTCAACACCATTATCTACACGTAATTCAACGCAAAAAAAGTTAATTTGCGAAGAAGTTTTGATTCGCAAGCTAGCGCAAAAATTGAAAATTTAATATTTGGCAAAAAATCCCTTGAATATTTGATATTTGGTAAAAAATCCCTTGAATATTTGATATTTGGTAAACACTCCCTTGAATATTTGATATTTGGTAAACAATCCCTTGAATATTTGATATTTAGTAAACATTCCCTTGAATATTTGATATTTGGTAAACAATCCCTTGAATATTTGATATTTGGTAAACAATCCCTTCAATATTTGATATTTGGTAAACCCTCCCTTGAATATTTGATATTTAGTAAACAATCCCTTGAATATTTGATATTTAGTAAACACTCCCTTAAATATTTGATATTTAGTAAACAATCCCTTGAATATTTGATATTTAGTAAACAATCCTTTGAATATTTCATAAACAGTTCTCCCTTTAATTATACCTATTATATTGCTCCAATTAGAAAGGCTCCACTTCTTGTTATCTTGTTTGTTCTTTTTACCCTAAACATAACATATTTTAAGGTCATAATGGGATTAAAGGGAGAGAACGGATAGACATGGTAGTTGAGCTGAAAGTACAGTATTGTATCCTAAAGTATCCTAAAGTTTCTCTTCACAATACTGCACTTTTAGCTCAACTACCATGTCTAGCCAGTCTCTCCCTTTACCCATAGTTTGGATGGGTCAGGAGGCCAGGGGTGTCTAGTTTGGAAATAAATCTAGAAAGGGTGAGGGAAGTGGATGGGGTTTGAAAGTTCTTTTACTACATACTAAAGGAATTGCGTCTTTTCAGAAACTCTGATCTAGCTAGCTATGCAACCCAATATCGATATGTTGAAAAAGTAATTTTCCAAATTAAACCTCCATTGTCTATTTTGGGTTAACGTTGGATAAAAAAAGTTTTAACATGAACAAACATAAACTAGGTATTTCAACTATGTTACAATGTCATCTAAAAATATAATTTCGATGATTGGACAAACTTCTCAGGAAAACTTTCAATTGGTGAGGAAATGTGTAGAGGAGAGGAGGAGGAGGAAGAGGAGGAGGAGGAGGAGAAGGAGAAGGAGAAGGAGAAGGAGAAGGAGGAGGAGGAGGAATTTTTAGGTAACCCTTGGGGTACCCTGGGGGTCACAAAGGCTAAAAAAAAATTCGATTTTCGATTTTTTTCTCCAAAATTTTTTTTTGTTTTCCAAATTAGAAATTATTTTTTTCAAAAATTTATTTTTTTTAATCCACGGGTTTCCGCCTGGCACAACAGCTAGTACTAGATACAAATATAGCCCAATCGGATTAAAAAAATATTCTTTCAATTCCTGAATATTTTCCCCGTAGTTACAGACTATTTGTAGCTTGCGTGAGAAGCTGAGATGGATGAAAATCTTTATCAGATTAAGGTCTAATTAAATATGCATTACCTGATCTTATAGTGTACTTAGAGGTGCGCAAGTTCAATTTTTTTTCCTTTCGTTCATTCATCGTTTGCGAACGACCCATTTTGTTCGTGTTTTTTTTTTCAATCGTTTACAAAAACATTATTTCGTCGCTTGTTCTCAAAATTGACAATAATTTTCTCACTGTATGATTATTTAGTTATGGTCGTTCACTAAAATCGTTCAGTCAGCTAAATCGTTTCCTCAAATAAATCGTTTGTCCATTAAAAAAACGATCGTTCGTTCTCAAAAATTGTGTTTGTTCACAAAAATGATGCCCGTCTCTATGTATACTAAAGTTAGAAGGGATAGAAATTGTGTAAACATCTGACATATTAGATTGCAAAATACTAGAACCCCGCTAGGCCTATAGTTGTACCGGCATGACATGCTTTATTCTTAAAAAGATAGCTATTCTTCAAATATTGAGCTATCAAAACAAAGAATTCAACAAGTTATTTAAAGCATTTAATTTTCACAGCTATAAAACTCATGGGTTTCACAAATTATTCGCATTTTGCATTTTCGCGAGCAAACGAAATGAAAAAATGAAGCGGAACGGCCTGGGAAAAAAAATTTCGGAAAACAATTTGTCCTTTTCGCTGGAACCCTAATTGCAAGGCAATAGTGAAAAATATAGAACCCCTAAAGGCCTAATGTTGTACTGGCATGAAATGCTATATTCTTACAGAAGGTTTTTGACTGCCATCTTATCGCCACTTTATGAAATTATGAAAAATTAGATTAATCTTAATGAAAATTAAAAAAATTAGAATAATCTTTCTTAATATTAATCCAGAAAGGGGTATCATTTCGGGGAATTTTTTCTGTCAAAAAGGTTTGTAACACTTCCAATTATGTTCGCATACTTTGAATATTCTTAGATTTTTTAGATTTTTTTATATAAAAATTAGAAAGATTTTTAAGACATTGGGTAAATAAAGCAGACACTCAATAGGACTAGCCGGTGCAACAAGGTTGACGCGGTCAGACTTTAGTTTGAATTTACTTTTACTGAAGGGTCAGTGGTGCGTGATATCTGCTCAATGCTCTAGGCATAAAAATTAGAAAGATTTTTAAAATATGGATTTCAAATATTTAGATAAACTGATATATTAATATATATATATATATTGATATTGATATCTTGATCACGTTTTAATAATTTTGACGGAATATATCGATTTACAAATTTTAATTCTTAATTTTTTCCAATGAAAATAATTTAGTAATAATACTTGTGAATTTTTTTCCATAAGCATATAAGAGAGAATTTTAAAGGAATTTAGTCTTTGCCACAAACTCTGATTTTCTAATCCCTATATCTTTGCAACTTATAGACTTGTAGTCATTAGATATGATTTAGATGTTAGATCAAATAATCTATGTTTAAAATATTAAAGGTTTACACCATCAAGTTGCAAAGGGATTAGAAAATGAATTTGTTACGACAACTCAATTCCTTTATTACAAGAAACATAGCTTACAAGTTTGTGTAGGGTTTGTTTATAATGATCTATATCATAAAGTTTACAACTCTCATAAAATGATAGAATACTACACAACTGTATACATGTATATTCTATAAAATGTTTATTGTATCTATAGTTTGAATGTAAAGTAAATATGTTTTTATCACGCACCTCTGACCCTTTAGTAAAAGTAAATTAAATCTAATGGCTGACCGCGTCAACCTTGTTGCACCGACTAGTCCTATTGAGTGTCTGCCTTATTAACCCAATGTCCGGGCGATAAAGTACAAACTGGGACCGGAAAGGTTGACCCGGCTTGGAAATTCAATTGTACTACGGCTGCCCGTGTTACAGATTGGGATGTTAACATTTTCATTTTCAAAAAAACGATCGTTTCGTTATGAAAACGACGACGAAAAAAGAAAACGATCGTTTTTCAAATTGATCGTTTTATAAAACTCGTCGTTTCGTTAACGATCGTGAACGACGAACCTTCGTAAACGATGAGCCTTCGTTAACGATCGTTAACGACGAGCCTTCGTTAACAATCGTTAACGACAACCCTTCATTAACGATCGTTAACACGACCCTTTTTTTCAAAAAGATTGTTTTATAAAAACAATCGTTTTCAAAAACGATCGTTATTCGTTTTCTAAAAAATCAAATCGAGTGGGTCGTTTTTAAAAACAATTGAAAAACAAAACAAAAAATATCGTTTAACGATCGTTTTCAAAAACGATTAACAACCCTAGTTACAGATGAATAGTATAGACTTGAAAAAGGACTTAAAGTAAATGGCCAGGATTAAGTGGAATAATAATAACGATGCATGTTTGCACACAAAACTAATCAGATTCTTCTGATTTGATACTTGATGTTAACTGGCTTGATCCGTGGTGCAACCAGGCCGATCTGATTCTTTCTACCCATACGAGAGAACATAGCGTCCATACAAATTCAGAGAGTTGCTATATTCAACTTGGATCGTAAAAAAAAACAATTTAATTCCAAACAAATCATTCAGATTTTACAACCTATAATCATTGAATTTTTTTGGACACATTTGTATAAAGTTGATATTTCATAACATGCCACAGATCACCTTCCAATCTCCTACCTTCCAATCAACTCCTTACAGCTATCCAAAAACATAATTTGATGTGTGTAACCAATTATATTCATTATCGTTAACTAACTTAAGACCAACCACTCAAAACAACCTACCCTGGTTAGGGGGGTCCAAACTGCATAGTGAATTGTGATTGCTTATTTGTTATATCTCATGCTTTGTAGTTAAATAAAAATATGAATGAACGTTTTACTTGTTTCATATGCAATATACTTTAAAGGACGATTATTTGGCTGCTTTGATTTCATTGCTTCTGGGGTTCCACCTGGAAGAGACTCCAACGACAAAAAAAATCATTGTTTTAAGTACATGGTATATAAAACTGAATTTGTATGGACACTACGTTCTAAAGTATTAGTCGCTTTTTAACAAATTTCTCCTTGATACAAGAAATAGAAATAAGACGTTCATATGTTGATTTAACTAAAGGTTTGCAAGGTACTTTTTAAAATTGCAATCCTAGCTTTTTGTTGCTTACAGTTTCTTTATTTTCGACCAACCAAATCCTTCTCTACGGTTATGTAAGATAATATAATAAAAATTAGGCCCCATCTGTTCAGTTCTTTTGACGTCTATTGGATTATCTAGCAAACAAGACTAAATTGTTTTTGTTATTTGTGTTTCTTCCAAGTAAGCAGTCGATCACTATTTCTTATTTTTTTAATTCTTCTTGTACATTTAGAACTACCACAAGAACATGGTATTATTATTTGGTGTTGAATAAACAAAAACAAAAAACATTTGGTTAAAGGTTAACAGTTTTTTAGACATTTATAACATGGGGTTTGCAATTCCAAGACTTAAATTGCAAGGAGGGGGGAAGGATTTTGATAATCTGAGGGAAAAAATGAAAAATTGGACAAAAATGGAAAGTTATTTCACCTTTTTCTCAAAAAAAAATAATAATTTTCCACAATATAATTAATTTTCCACTAGCTGAGTTAACGAGTTAAACACAAAAAATTATTCTGCTTCGCGCACTTGTAATTAACTTTTGAGAATAAAAAATGATGTTCAAATACGGAGGGGAGGGGGGCAAAGATTTTAAAAGAAAATTTACAACCTTAGACATCACTTTAACAGAAACCGTTCAAAATTATCCATATCACGGGAAGTTTTAGTACATTTAAATTTCCGAGCCGGGTCAACCTTTCCGGTCCCAGTTTGTACTGTATCGCCCAGACATTGGGTAAATAAAGCAGACACTCAATAGGACTAGCCGGTGCAACAAGGTTGACGCGGTCAGACTTTAGTTTGAATTTACTTTTACTGAAGGGTCAGTGGTGCGTGATATCTGCTCAATGCTCTAGGCAATGAACAGTTCTTTCCGTTATTAAACAAATTAATAATTAAAGGTTCCTTAATTTGTAAACTTTTTGTCATTTTTCCAAACATTCGGTCAGAGAACTTCTATCTAATCAATAAAGATTTTGCCTTTAGGTCTTTCATTCAATAGAATACTTTTTTCAAAACAGATTAGGTATTTTTAATTAATATATGTAATAATGTAAGGCATAGAAATATATAAAAAAAAATTTTTTTCTAAGTTTTAAAGTTGTTCACCTCAAATATTTCAAACTATGATTTCTTAAAAGTTGGAAATTTTAAAGTTTTACATTTATTAGTTTGCAAATATATCGTGTATATGTATATGTATAATGTATATGTATTATGTATTATGTATAATGTATAATGTATAATGTATAATGTATATGTATTATGTATTATGTATTATGTATTATGTATAATGTATAATGTATAATGTATAATGTATATGTATAATGTATATGTATAATGTATATGTATAATGTATAATGTATATGTATTATGTATTATGTATTATGTATAATGTATAATGTATAATGTATAATGTATATGTATATGTATAATGTATAATGTATAATGTATAATGTATATGTATATGTATAATGTATAATGTATAATGTATAGTGTATAATGTATAATGTATAATGTATAATGTATATGTATAATGTATAATGTATAATGTATAATGTATAATGTATAATGTATAATGTATAATGTATATATATAATGTACAATTATACTTTTTAATGAACCTCAAAAAAATATGCACAAAGGTTTTAGGAGACCATTCTTTTTGGAATGAATAATTTGGGTCGCACGGGGGTGGGGGGTGGGTCTATATCCCCTTTCTATTTCCGATTTTCCGGTAGATTTCAAAACTTTTTAGGATTCTCCGATCTCAGTTAGATGGAATTCAATTTTAGACAGAAACTACTCTGAAATTATTATAATAAGACATCGAACTTCAATAACTGAATTCATGAAAACTTAAAACTTTAACCTTGAAATGTGACTACTCTAGAAGTTCAAAATTTACAAAATTTACAAAAACTTGCCACTCGGATATTCTAACCTCTATCTTAGCATCCAAATATCGTAGACCTTTAATATTTCAAGCTTTGAACTCTGTTAGATCAAATTAACAAGGTTTGAAATATCAAAAGTTTACAACATAAGATTGCAGTGATATAGGGATTACAAAATATCAGTTCGATTTTTTCTCAAAATATATCGATTTGAATATCAATAGCTGTGTTTGTATACGATAAACGTCCCAATTGCTGAATTGATCAGGCCCTATTTTGTGTGGGACTTCACGTGACCCCAGGGAAGGTTTATGAGTGATCAAAATTTCAAATATTTGTCTCCATCAAAATTAGATTTTTATTAAATTATTAATTTTATAAATCCACGATTTTTTTTGTTAAGATCCGCGAACTTTTTTGTTTTGTTTTACTATGTACACAAAGTGAACATGTTCACAATTAAAATAGAAGATGGGCGCGAAACGCCCTATATATCTAATATTTTTATTATTTTATATATTTTTTCTTACAATTATCAGAGTTAAATGTTTTGTATTTCAACTTTTTAAGGAATTATTCGTGTCTATGGGAAGCCGATTTTCTTTTCGGAGACTGCAGTAGAGAGGAGATGGGAGGAAGGGCGGGGGGGTTAGGAAGGGGGTAGCAGGAGAGGGGGGATAGGAGATTGTAGAATAGAGGAGATGGTAGGAAGGGGAGCATCATGGTTTAAATATAAATTAGACTGCCTCGTTCATTGTTATCTATGTATTTAGTATCCAATATATTTGAAGTGATGCCGGATTTAAAAAGTACAAACCACTAACAAAATTTCACCTGTTTTACGCCGGAATAATTTTCAAAACGAGATTCTTCCCTCTCCTTCTCTATATAATCCTAAACAAATATATATATAATTATATATTTACTTTGCTTGTCTGTCATGGTTTTGTGGGACCTCGCGTGACCCCAGGGGAGGTATGTGGATGATCGAATTTTCTAAAATTTGCCTCTAACAAAATTCAATTTTTGAAAATTTTGAAAATCCATGAAGTTTTTTGATAATTTCCGCGAAATTTTTTGTTTTTTTTGTTAGTTTTATAATGTACACAAAGAGAACATGTTCACAATTGTAATAGAAGATGGGAGTGAAGCATCCTAAAAGGCTAGTATGTATATATAAAACTAACTGAACTTTCCAAAATCTAAGATTACTTATTCCACATCATTTCAATTGTATATATATAAAAAGGATTTTTGTAAAAAAATTTGATGATGAAACTAAAGTAGTAAAAAAATAAAATAAAATGAATTGGGCTTGAAAAACATACTATAAACAAACATAACTTACACTTCCATTCCTTAACTTTAAGGCTTTCTCTGTGTAACGGCACCTATACATAACTTGACACAGGAATGGGATATCCTTAATCTAATTATCTAATGTACACACTTTTGATATTCTTCTTAATCCTCTATAAAAGTTCCGTTTGATAACAATTTAAGATACGAATCTATATCGATTGGACTAATATCCGATAGAACTTAAATAAGCTGTTTACAAGCCGGCTTTTAGAGCATTTAAAAAAATATTAATTTGATCGTGTAAATATGAAATTATTAAAAAACATTAGTCTTAAAAAACATTAATCCAAAACTTACGTTCGTTCAATTGATAATTAGTCCAATTGATATGACACCAAAAATGCGGAAAAATTAAAAACCGGTTTTTCAAAAGTTTCAGAGCGCATCTCTAATCTCTAGAAATAAATCTAAAGACTAAATTAATCTGAAGATAGATGAATAGAGAGGATTAAGAAGCATTGATCTCGATATCCATCATTCTAAAGTGTTCAGCTCTGGTTGATTAGAGAAGGTTAGTTTATTCTAGAAGGAATTACAAACAGTGATTTTCTCTGTCAAGTTAGAAAAGAAAATTCTAAAGAAAACATTTCTGGAATTTTATTTTCACTGTTTGATTGAAGGAAGCAAAGAGAAGTTTAGAAAAACTTTGTTTCAATCAGATATTCCACAGTTGATTGTGCTGAACTATTTCAAGGTTGTGCATTCATGGTATTTATCGGAATTAGGCAAGCACATGATAAATGCTGGAAATCTTAAATGTATGTGTCAGAAAAATAAAATTGGGTTTGCATCAAAATAGCAAAGTATTTTTAAACATAGAGAACAGAGATAGATGGATAGAGATAGATCCTTTTTGAGAACGAACCACATTTTTCGTAAAACGATCGTTTTTTTAACTGAACAAACAATTTTTTTTGACCAAAATTTTTTTTAAAAATTATTTTTTAAACTGAAAGAACAATTTTTTTTTGAAGGAAAGATAGTTTAGTAAGAAAACAAACGAATATATAGGAAATAAATGAAAACTTTAAGAATTAACGAAACCAAATTTAAATTTGAAGGATTGAAAAAACAGATAAATGAAATGGGTCGTTCACGAACGGAGAACGAACAAAAAAGAAGAAAAAATCGAACGGGCCCATCACTAGTTTTACAAAAGCTTCCTTAGTTTAAACTTTAAAATTTTTGATCTTTTTTCAACCTAAATCCAGCTACATATAGTTTAACCCAATGAAAGCCCTTTTAATCCCCCAACCATATACTGGGCACATTTAGAGAGCAACGAAGCACTGATTATACATAGTATATCACACCAAGGATAGAATTTAATGAATTTGCAAGGTCGCTTAATTACCTACCGCTGGTTCAAATTTGAATCAACGATCCTTCCTGAATCTTTAACTTGGAATTAGTGGCTTAAATTTGAACCGGTGGTAGGTAGTTTAGCGATGTAGCTCAAAACCATTAAATTAGGTCCCTAACATCCTATACCTTTATATTAGCTCTATAGTTTTCGGAAACATTGAATGAATATCCAATCATGAATCTAATTAATTTCTTATTGGGTCAAAATTTGTATTTTCAGCTTTATCTGCTTTCTGCGACAGCACATCATTAACAGCAGAGAAAAATATTTGTAGGATTTGCTATTTAGGGATATTTAGCTTTCATGTAAGCAACATTATCCATACTTTTAAATATCAATCTAAAGATTTGTTTTAAAGTTTTTTTATTTTGAAAAAAAAACTTTATTAAACTTTATTTTTGGAATAATCTTGTTGTTATAATTCATTCCGAGTTCTGCCCATTTGGCGAAAAAAAATAAATTGAAAAGATGATATCCTGTAGACGTGAACACGTGTATTTCTGTAAAAACAAATATTTTTTTTTAATCTGTAAAATAACTTCGGATGAAAATTTAAAATAGATAAGTGATTTTACCCGGCAAAGTTATGATAGATGTAAGTGAATTTATCCGGCAAATTTACAATAGATAAGTGATTTTATCCAGTATAATAGATTCATGATTTTATCCAGTAAAACTATAACAGAAAAGTGATTTTATCCAGTAAATCTATAACAGATAAGTGATTGTATCCGGTAAATTTATAATATACAAGTGATTTTATCTGGTAAATTTACAATAGATACAGGGTGGCCAAAACTTTTTTGAAAAAATCCGTACAAAAATCCGTACATTTTCAGAGGAAATCCGTACAATTTTCGAAAAAAAATCCGTACAATCCGTACAATTTTTTTTGAACAAATCCGTACATTTTTTTAAAAAATCCGTACAATTTTCGAAAAAATCCGTACAATCAGTACAATTAATTTTCGAAAAAAATCCCTGCAATCCGTACATTTAAGAAAAATAAAACCATTTTTGAAAATATTATTCAACACATAACAACCAAATAATTAAGTTATAATTAGAAAGAGTGGAGTGTAGATTTAGGATCTAATATAATTAAAAATAGCGTGGTACAGGGGTTGCACACTTAATTAAAAGAAAGTTAATATTGAACTAAAAATGAAAAGATTTACAGATAAACGGAAGAAACCTGAGAGGATGTTCTCAGATCTGATAAAGAGACAGATAGATAGATGGATAAACAGACAGACAGATAGATAGACAGAGACACAGATAGACACACACACATATAGATAAACAGAGAGACAGATAGGATATATAAACAGATAAATAAAAAGATAGATAAACTGACATGCAGATAGATATACAGATGGATAGACAGATAGCTAGATAGCTAGACATATAGGTAGACATATAGCTAGACAAAGAGCTAGACGGATAGATAGACAGATAGATAGACAGATAGACAGATAGATAAACACATTCTCAAATGAACACTTCTGGAACATATTCTCAAATGAACACTTCTGGGATCTCGAAAATTATGAATGAATTTTGATTGTCAATTGAAACATTAATCAATCTAATATTATTTAGAATGCAGAAAATAAGTAAAACTAACTTCATTTTGACGAGATTTTTTTTTTGAAATTTTCATGAAAAACTTGCTGAAATGAGTGAAAATTTATAAAAACGGTGTATTTCCAGGATAAAAATCCGTACAATCCGTACAATTTGAAAAAAAAATCCGTACAATCCGTACAATTTCAGGATTACAAAATAAAAAATTCGTACAATCCGTACATTTTGGCCACCCTGTAGATAAGTGATTTCATTCGGTAAATTTATAATAGCTAATTGATTTTATCCAGCAAATTTATAATAGATAAGTGATTTTATCTGGTAAATCTATCATAGATACGTGATTTTATTCGGTTAATTTATAATAAATAAGTGATTTTATCTAGTAGATATATAATAGCTAATTGATTTTATCTAGTAAATTTATAATAGTTAATTGATTTTATCCAGCAAATTTATAATAGATAAGTGATTTTATCTGGTAAATCTATAATAGATATGTGATTTTATTCGGTTAATTTATAATAAATAAGTGATTTTATCTAGTAAATTTTTAATAGCTAATTGATTTTATCTAGTAAATTTATAATAGCTAATTGATTTTATCCAGCAAATTTATAATAGATACGTGATTTTATCCGGTAAAGCTATAATAGATACGTGATTTTATCCGGCAAGTTTATAATAGAGAAGTGATTTTATTTAGTAAATTTATAATAGCTAATTGATTTTATCCAGCAAATTTATAATAGATAAGTGATTTTATCCGGCAAGTTTATAATAGAGAAGTGATTTTATCTAGTAAATTTCTAATAGATACGTGATTTTATCCGGTAAATCTATAACAGATAAGTGATTGTATCCGGTAAATTTATAATATACAAGTGATTTTATCTGGTAAATTTACAATTGATAAGTGATTTTATCTAGTAAATATATAATAGCTAATTGATTTTATCTAGTAAATTTATAATAGCTAATTGATTTTATCTAGTAAATTTATAATAGCTAATTGATTTTATCCAGTAAATTTATAATAGATAAGTGATTTAATTCGGTAAAGCTATAATAGATACGTGATTTTATCCAGCAAGTTTATAATAGAGAAGTGATTTTATCTAGTAAATTTCTAATAGATACGTGATTTTATCCGGTAAATCTATAACAGATAAGTGATTGTATCCGGTAAATTTATAATATACAAGTGATTTTATCTGGTAAATTTACAATAGATAAGTGATTTTATCCGGCAAATTTATAATAAAAAAAATATTTTTGTTTTAAAAAAGTTTAGAGTAGCTTATTAATGGACGATTTTAAATCCAGGAAACAAAAACCAGGCCCGTAGCTGGTATGAAACGAAAAAAGAAAGAAGGAATGAAAAAGGGGAGAAAAATTGGCATAAAAGTTAATTTTTGTGTGAATGATTATTTTAAACATTTAATGAAGAAATCTAAATTATTTTTTTGCTATATACAAAACTTCCATAATGATATAACATGTACTTCACCAGAATCATAAATTACAGAATTGAAAGAACACCCTGTAAACATAAAACAAAACCCCCTGTAGTTATAAAACAAAACGCCCTGTAAATAAAAAATAACGATTTCTTGTGAAAGTGCTGATAAAAATGAGCTGAACCAGCATATTTTCTACTCCAGGAGCTAGGAGAAGGGATGGGCACTTTAGTTTTTGTATTAAACTCGTCTTAAAATTTTTGGAAAATTTCAAAACGATAATTTTAAAAAGTTTTTAAAACTTTTAAAAAATAGTTTTGCTTTGAAAGCAAACCGATCCTCAAAATGGACACTCAAAAAAGAATACGATCGTTTTGAAAAAAATAAATCGAAAAAGATGCCTAAGCCTAATGAGTTAGGATGAGACGTGCGAACAAGACTAAAAACTGACAAGGTTCGTTGCAAATATAGAACATGACCTAGAGCTTGATGGGGGGAGAAGGGTGGAGGCCGGATGGGGAGGGGAGGGGAGAGGGGGGTCATTTAATAGAGATTCAAAAATCATTTGGAAGGAGTGGGGGTTGAGAAAAAGAGACAAAAATAATAAAAAGGATGTATGCAGAAAAATGATATATGTAGAAAAATGGTTTGTGTCCTTTAGCAAAGGAGTGTTTGTGGAGAAAGGGTGTCTGCAAAAAAAGGGTGTCTGCAGAAAAATGGTGTCTTCAGAAAAAGGGTGTCTGCAGAAAAATGGTGTCTTCAGAAAAAGGGTGTCTGCAGAAAAATGGTGTCTGCAGAAAAAGGGTGTCTGCAGAAAAAGGGTTTCTGTAGAAAAAGTTCTTGTTTGCAGAAAAATGGTGTTTGTAAAAAAGATTTTCTTAAAAAAAGTTTGTTTATTGCAGAAACAGGGTGTTTGCAGAACAGTGTGTTTGCAAAAATGGGGTTATGAAAAATGATATTGCAACCTTGATGTTGTTATTTTATACTATAAAGTGATGCTTGTAGAGTATATAAAGAGCTTATGGGAATTCTAAAACTTGTCATTTAATAAACTATGAATTAAACTAGTTCATCAATTAAACTTGATCCTTTACCATCGAGCCCAGATCAAATTTGATAATTAGCAAACTGTAGAATTAGATTAATTAAGATGGAGATTAAAGAGACTGTTATTAGATTAATAAAGTTGGAGATTAGAGGGACTGTTATTAGATTTATAAAGTTGGAGATTAAAGGAACTGTTATTAGATTAATTAAGATGGAGATTAAAGGAACTGTTATTAGATTGATAAAGTTGGAGATTAAAGGGACTGTTATTAGATTAATTAAGATAGAGATTAAAGGGACTGTTGTTAGATTAATTAAGATGGAGATTAAAGGAACTGTTATTAGATTAATCAAGTTGGAGATCAAAGGGACTGTTATTAGATTAATTAAGATGGAGATTCAAGGAACTGTTCATAGATTAATTAAGATGGAGATTAAAGGGACTGTTATTAGATTAATTAAGATGGAGATTAAAGGGACTGTTATTAGATTAATTAAGATGGAGATTAAAGGAACTGTTATTAAGATGGAGATTAAAGGGACTGTTATTAGATTAATTAAGATGGAGATTAAAGGGACTGTTGTTAGATTAATTAAGATAGAGATTAAAGGAACTGTTATTAGATTAACTAGGATGGAGATTAAAGGGACTGTTATTAGATTAATTAAGATGGAGATTTAAGGGACTGTTATTATATTAATCAAGTTGGAGATTAAAGGGACTATTATTAGATTTATCAATTCTGAGATTAAAAGGACTGTTTTCGTAATTAGTAAACCTTGTGGGAAAGAGGAAATATCGATTCACATCTAGAGATCGACGTTCGACTTATTTCATTTTTTCGTTCATTGTTCGTAAACGACCTATTTAACGTTTAAAAAGTTTGTTCCAAAAAGCGTTTGCTCAGTGAAAAAAAACGATAGTTGTTTTTTTTAAATCTTTTTAAAGATTCGAGTTCGTCCAGGAAAAAAAGATTTTTCATTTTGTCCTTTTTAGGTTTTTTTTAAAAAGATAGTTTTTTCGTTTCTCTGTGCGATCCATTTCGTTCATCCAGTGTTCTCAAAAATTTCGTTTGTTAAAAAAACAACGCCCATCTCTATCGACAACAGATAGATTTCGGTTAAATGGTTGTGACAAAACCTTTTTTAAATAAAAGATTTTAATCGAACTTAACTAAAAAATTTTGAAAGCTAGTTAATATAATTGGAACTTCTATGGAATAGAATGACGACTGTTAGACTCAAGTTATGATTTAAAATAGTCCGAAACACAGAACACAGCAATGTGTACTATACTTCAGACCCACCTCACTTAGAAATAAGTTAATGTGAATGATACTGATGAAAGTATTTCATCAGTATCTAAATCCTGTCAACTTAGTCCACTGTTTAATAATGTTCCCACTTTATGAAAGTAATAGATCATATTTGTAATCATTATATACACATAGTCACAGACATCTCATCTTAATATATTTAAGATTAATTTAAATCAAGGTTTCACGTACGACTTTGCGACTTTAGATCGACTTCTATAGAGGTCTGGAATGCCGGAAATGGTGTTAAGAAAGGATATAAAAATGGGGTTAAACCAAATTGACCTGAAAAATCTACAATTGCCACTATTTGTTACATTTTCTTATATTTAAAACAGGACAGTGGTCATTTTTAGATTGTGACTGTCAAATGTCAAATGTCTAAATAATGTTTCTGTGCAGTGAGAAACAGAAAACTGTGAAATAGAAAGACGACATTACCACAAAAATCAAGTATACCTGATGTTGTTACAATTCCAATAGTTTACTAGTAAAGTATTCAACTACTTATTAAGTAAAATGGAACATTTTACACTGCATAACTGATGTGTCTCATAGTCACTGGACTATTTAAAGTCCTAACTTGAGTCCAACAGTAGTTTTCCAAGTCCAGAGTTCCCTGGTTCTCAAGTTAGAGAGATGTTTGCTAAGAAACAACCATTAACAAGGTTTTTATGTGATCCACTCGTAGCAAAGTTTTCGGAAACTTTCTGATAGAATTTAAGCTCCGGTACATAGTCTACCAACAATAGAACTGGAATATTCAACATATTTTAGGAAAATAATATTTTTTTTTGGTGAAGTCATAATCATAAAGACTCAGAATTAATTGATAGTTAATCAGACGACTATACATATATATATCTGGCAATTTTAAATGCTTAAAAAATGCAGACCACATTTTGGAAATGGCAAGTCTAGGGATATTTCGTGATTTTCATTTCATTATGTGCATTTCTGAATAAAATGTTTTAAATAAAAATTAAATTTTGTAAGAAAGGAAATAAAGTATATTAAAAGAATAAATAATGAAGAAATTCAAAATTAAAACAAAATATAATAAATCAAACCACAAAAAAATACTTAATACACTCCAATATATATGTACACACGTTTCTCATAGGATTTAGACTCGAAACTAAGCTTTTTAAGCATGCCGTAGGGGAAACTGAAAGGGAGAAGAAATTGGTTTTGTTGAACAATCGAAATAAATGTATTTGAAAAAATGATTAGAATAAAAATGCCATCGAATAAAAATCTTTTTATATTTTATTCATATTTCATTTTTGTATCTCTTCTTAACATCTTTTCTAAATATCGTTTCTTAATATAGCTTCTTGATATCTCGTCTTTGTATCTCATCTTGATATATATCTTCTTTACATCTCCTCTTAATATCTCTTTTTACTATGTTTTTTAATATCTCATATATCTTCTTAATATCTGTTCTTAATATTTCATCTAAATATCTCTTCTTTATATTTCTTCCTAATATTTCTTCTAAATATCTCTTCTTAATATCTCTTCCTAATATTTCTTCTAAATATCTCTTCTTAATATCTCTTCTTAATATCATTTCTTAATATCTTTTACAAATAGCTCTTCTTTAATATCTCTTCTTAATATCTCTTCTTGATATCTCTTCTTAATATATTTTACGAATTGATGCCGCGTAGATCAAGACGATCTGAAAGTTTTCAATAATGTTCATGTTGTTGAGGAAAATTTACTCAATATTGATTACTAAATATATTTTTTTACCTTAAAAATATTAGATTGCAGAAAGCGTTGATAACTGTCCATTTTCATCAAATTGTAGATTTGTTTTTGAGAGGTATTAAACATGTCAGGGTTTCCACATCTAATAATATATATATATTAAACATGTCAGGGTTTACACATCTGATAATATATATATATATATTAAACATGTCAGGGTTTTCACATCTAATAATATATATAAATATATTAAACATGTCAGGGTTTCCACATCTAATAATATATATATATATTAAACATATCAAGGTTTCCATATATAATATAAGTTATTTATATATTAAAAATGTCAGGGTTTCCAATCTAATAATATATACATATTAAATATGTCAGGGTTTCCACATCTAATCCAATAAAATGTTAAATGAAAAGTTTTATGACATTTCGAATGCGTTTTTTGTGCCAACCCATGAAATGAAATTGTGCGATAGAAATTTGCTCTAATTGATTTAAGTTTGTGTTTTCATAATATTAGGAGAAACTTTGATATTCAGAATTGTTTTCATCTTAATTTAAAGGGAGTAACCAGCGATGTAAAGTAGTTGAACTGAGTATGCAGTGTTGTGGAAAACTTCTTTTGGATTCATTTGAACATATTAAACTTTTTAAAGATCTGTAAATCCTGAGTTTGAGCGCAAATTCGACGTTCAAAACTTTGGGGGTGGATACGTTTTCAGAATTGGTTTTTTAAATTATTAAATAACGACGACATAAAATGTAAAAAAAATTTATATATTTAATAATTTAAAATAACTAATTCTGAAAACGTATCCAACCCCAAAGTAGAGTTTTGAACGTCAAATTTGCGCTCAAACTCAGGATTTACAGATCTTTAAAAAGTTTTACATGTCTCAAATGAATCCGAAAGAAGTTTTCCACAACACTACATTCTCAGTTCAACTACCTTACATAGCCGGTTACTCCCTTTAAAACTAGATTGGAAACCCAGCTTTGCTCGAAAACAAAACTTGCCCCGTACAATACAACCCATTCAACTTTCCCCAATAAAAATTTGAGGAAAATCGGTCAAATGGTTCATAGCAATGATCGGACATGCAAACAAACATACAGCCTTGACGAACAGAGATTACTACTTTATGTATATAAATAAGAGAAAACAATAGTATATTTCTAATTATATTCGTCCAACATCAACAAATATTAGAACAATTAAAGAATTTTAAGAAATGTTAATTTGAATAATTGTAAGTTTGGTAAAATACCTTGAAGCAATTGCAGTTTTGACTGCTTCACTTGCGGTCTGCCGAGCCCCTGGATAAATATTAAAAGATAATTATCAAAGATTCAATTTAAATCAATATCCAATCTTTATTTTAAGCTATAAATAGCCAAAGTTATTCTTTAAGATAAAACAAGACATTCGTATATATATTTATATGTTGCTTATAGCCGGCCAATCGGCTGGACCGATTGGGATGAAATTTTGTGTGGACACTCATGGGTGGCCGGGGGATGTCATAGGCTAAAAGAAATCAATTTTTTTTTAAATGAATATTTTCTTGTTTCAATTTTTTTTATTCCACTGGAAAAAAAAAAGATTTCTGTCTTCAGGTTTCAAAGATATATGTAGACTGTTATAGAGATTACAGAAAAGATAAGACGTGAAATTTTTAAATCGTTAAAATATATAAAAAGCAACGTATTTTAATTCATATTTTATTAATTTTGTTCTTCTTCCAACAACAAAATATTTGACCTGAATCCACATTAACCGGCTCAGGAGCTTCCGCCGCTAGATGTTGGGCGAATATTTCCTCCGCCTTACTCACACGAACTTTGTTATCTAAATTATAGAAGTTTTAAATAAAACCACCAAAGGCATTCAGGGAGCTTCATCACTAAAGATGGGCTCGACTTTGCTAACATAGGAAATTTTTGAAAACTGACAAAGTCTTTCGTGCAAGATGGCGACATTTAGAAAAAAAAATAACGATGGACGAACAACTATGATCGCTTAGAGATAGCAAAACGATCGTTTTTTTAAAAGAACAAAATTTAATCCAAAAACAAAGGATTTAAATTTTTTTAATAAAATCTTCAAAATTATCTTATTCAGTTGCCCGTTACTGTAATGTTTGATTGTTCATAAACGTTTTCGTACATTTCCTGGATTTTTCTTATTGAAAAGAAGGAATTTGAAGAATTTGAAAAATGTCTGCAAACTAATTTGTAAAGAATGAAAAATTCAATGTAATGAACAATTGTGATACAGAAATAATTGATTTTATCAATAATTGATTTCCCCAATTACGCGTAATCCTGAGAAATTACACGAAATGAAAATTATTACCCGTAACTGCATTACTATTATGTTGGAAACCCTACTTGTAAACCCCTTTATCTCTGATACTGCACTCTCAGCTCAACTAAAATGTCTAGCCGGTCACTCCATTGAAGAAGATTTTCATAATCCTTTATTTTGATTATTTTTCCTTGTAAGGTTTAGTTTAATGTAATACATGTATGACTGGTCTCATGCTGTAGAAGCGTTTACATTGTACACAACATAATCTGAAGATTTGCTTGTTCAGCAATACAATTTATGTATTTATTATCAGGTACAATGGACCGGATATTACTAGGTCTGCCCAAATCAAGGTTATTAGTCGAAAATCTTGGAAAATTAATGAAAACTTCCGCATGTCCCACTCACAACGGTTTCCTTACAAGCCATGTCCATTTCAAGAATGATTGAGCTTCTTATGTTTATCTAGATTTTTTAATTTTACTTTTTTCATTTTCATGGTTTTTTTTCTCGAAAATTCTACATTTTAGTCTCGGTCCCGGCTAAAAGGGTACCATTGTAAATTGTGCACGTCATTCTGAATAAATTCCTATTGACAATTGAAGAGATTTATAAAAATTTTAAATCTTTGTTTTTTATTTTATTTTTTATTTTATTCGTTTTTATTTTTAGTTTTTTTGGTCAAAAAATTACACACGGAAAGCAACCCTTATTTTTATGTACATATGAAGTGTACTGCAGCTCGTGAAAGGAATGTAAACAATTACAAACCCAATGTTACCCAGGCAGAGATTTGTCATATTTCTCTCTAGCAACTGCAGTACAACAATATAAACATAAATATGGAGGTTCATATTTATGTTCTTCTTATAATTCTATTGTTTTATTAAAACACTAGATTCACAAGAAATAACACAAATTAGCTCTATTTTTGGAAATGTTTTAAAAAAAGTTTAAGAAGATATTATTGAAAAAGATTTTGTTAGACTAGGTTTACAGAGAGGAATAGGCTAAATAATTAAATCTGTAATTAGTTTAGTAGACATTTTTCAAATAGATTTTGTTAAGCTAGGTTTAAAGAGAAGAATAGGTTAAATAATTAAATCTATAATTAGTTTAGTAGACATTATTCAAATAGATTTTGTTAAGCTAGGTTTAAAGAGAAGAATAGGTTAAATAATTAAATCTATAATTAGTTTAGTAGACATTATTTAGAAAGATTTTGTTAAGCTAGGTTTAAAGAAAAGAATAGGTTAAATAATTAAATCTAGAATTAGTTTAGTAGATATTATTCAAATAGATTTTGTTAAGCTAGGTTAAAAGAAAAGAATAGGTTAAATAATTAAATCTAGAATTAGTTTAGTAGACATTATTTAGAAAGATTTTGTTAAGCTAGGTTTAAAGAGAAGAATAGGCTTAATAATTAAATCTAGAATTAATTTAGTATATATTATTTTAATAGATTTTGTTAAGCTAGGTTTATAGAGAAGAATGGGTTAAATAATTAAATCTAGAATTAATTTAGCAGATATTATTCAAATAGATTTTGTTATGTTAGGTTTAAAGAGAAGAATAGGTTAAATAATTAAATCTAGAATTAGTTTAGTAAATATTATTCAAATAGATGTTGTTAAGCTAGGTTTAAAGAGAAGAATAGGCTTAATAATTAAATCTAGAATTGATTTAGTATATATTATTCAAATAGATTTTGTTATGTTAGGTTTAAAGAGAAGAATAGGTAAAATAATTAAATCTAGAATTAGTTTAGTATATATTATTTTAATAGATTTTGTTAAGCTAGGTTTAAAGAGAATTCAACCAAAAATATTTTATTTTATCTGCAGTTGTCGTCGTATATACCAATACAATGAAGACGACTTTCGATTTTAATTTGATTTCTCCCAAGCTTTCAAACAGCATGGAAACAAAGAAAAGCTGTCAATTAACCGCTTCTCTTTGCAACTTAAGTAAACTTGTGAAATGAAAGTGCTTGATAGAAATAAAAAGTCGTCTTCATTGTATTGATATAAACGCCGACCATTATATTAATAATAATACCTGAGATTTTTTTGTACTGTTGACAAGATTTCCAAAATATTATATTTTCTTGACTGAACTCCTTAGTCAGAAACTCCGTAAACAGTCTAGGAAAATACAACACAGTAAATAAACTGTCTAGGAAAAACGACACATTAAAAAAACAGTCTAGAAAATTACAACACGGTAAATAAGCAGTTTAGGAAAATACAACTTAGTGAATAAACAGTCTAGGAAAATACAACACAGTAAATAAACAATCTAGAAAATACATCAGTAAAATAAAATAAACATTCTAGGAAAATACAACTTAGTGAATAAACAGTCTAGGAAAATACAGCACAGTAAATAAACAATCTAGAAAATACATCAGTAAAATAAAATAAACATTCTAGGAAAATACAACTTAGTGAATAAACAGTCTAGGAAAATACAACATAGTAAATAAACAATCTAGAAAATACATCAGTAAAATAAAATAAACATTCTAGGAAAATACAAAGTAGTAAACAAACAATCTAGGAAAATTGAACATTGTGAAAAAACAGTCTAGGAGAAAAGAACATAGTAAATAATTAAACAGTCTAGGAAATTACAACACAATAAAAAAACTGTGTAGGAAAATAGAACACAGTAAATAAATAATCTAGGAAATTCTCTTTGGAATAAATTTAAAACAGTCTAGGAAAATAGAATACACTAAATAAACAGTACAAGAAAATACATCAAAGAAAATAAACAGTTAGGGAAAATATAACACAGTAAATAAACAGTCTAGAAAATTACAACACAATTAATAAACAGTCTAAGAAAATATAACACAGTAAATAAATAGTTTGGGAAAATACAACGAAGTAAATTACTTTAATAAACAATCAAGAAAAATAAACAAAGTTAATAAACAGTCTAGGAAAATAAAACAAAGTAAATAAACAGTCTAGGAAAATAGAACAAAGTAAATAAACAATCTTGGAAAATACAACACAGTACATAAAAAGTCTAGGAAAATACAATGCAGTTAATTAAAATCCCAGTAAATACATCGGCCTTAATACCTTAATAGACAGTCTAAGAAAAAAAACAAAGTAAATAAACAGTCTAGGAAAATATAACACTGTAAATAAACAGTCTAGGAAAATACAACACAGTAAGTAAACAGGTTATGGAAAATACAACGCAGTAAATAAAGTCTAGAAGAATGCAATATAGTAAATAAACAGTTAGAAAAATACATCATGGTAAACAAATAGTCTAGGAAAATATATCATGGTAAACTAATAGTCTAGGAAAATACATCATGGTAAACTAATAGTCTAGGAAAATACATCATGGTAAACTAATAGTCTAGGAAAATACATCATGGTAAACTAATAGTCTAGGAAAATACATCATGGTAAACTAATAGTCTAGGAAAATACATCATGGTAAACTAATAGTCTAGGAAAANTGATGTTTACTGTATTCCTACAGGGTGATATTTACTGTATTCCTACAGACTGATATTTTCTGTATTCCTACAGGGTGATATTTTCTGTATTCCTACAGGGTGATGTTTACTGTATCCCTACAAGGTGATATTTACTGTATTCCTACAGGGTGATATTTACTGTATCCCTACAGGGTGATGTTTACTGTATCCCTACAGGGTGATATTTTCTGTATTCCCACAGGGTGATGTTTACTGTATTCCTACAGGGTGATATTTACTGTATTCCTACAGGGTGATGTTTACTGTATTCCTACAGAGTGATATTTACTGTATTCCTACAGGATGGTATTTACTTTAATCCAATAGGGTGATATTTACCTTTTTCTTACAGGGTGATATTTACTGTATTCCTACAGAGTGATATCTACTGTATTCCTACAGGGTGATATTTACTGTATTCCTACAGGGTGGTATTTACTATATTCCTACAGGGTGGTATTTACTATATTTATATAGGGTGATATTTACCTTTTTCTTACAGGGTGATATTAACTGTTTTCCTACAGAGTGAAATTTACTGTATTCCTACAGAGTGATATTTACTGTATTCCTACAGGGTGATATTTACTGTATTCCTACAGAGTGATATTTACTGTATTCCTACAAGGTGATATTTACTGTATTCCTAGAGGGTGATGTTTAATGCATTCCTTCAAGGTGGTATTTACTGTTTTCCTAAAGGATGCTATTTACTGTATTCCTACAGGGAGATATTTACCTTATTCCTACAGGGTGATGCAAAAGAAGGTCAAAATCCTGCCACCAATCCTCTCTGTGTCAACAATAGTTCATTTAAATATATGCTAAATTAAAGGTAACTCATAATCAAAGGAAGAGACCGGCTATGTAACATATTTGAACTTAAAGTGCAGAATTAGGGAGAAAAACTTTAGGGTCCATTTAGGGCGTACAATTTTTAAATAAGAGGGTCAAGTCATTTAAAATATTTATAATACCCAGACAAAACATGAAAAAAATATGTTAACTAATTTTCTCTTTAGGAACATGTTTCTTAAAAGAAACTATTGATGAAAGCTATAGTAGAACCATAAAATCGATAATTTCTTTATCACTATTATATTTGCTGTTTCAAAATTTGTGTCGCAGCATTCTTAAAAAGGTCGTCTTCACAATCAAAATAAAGAAAACCTCCAACAATTGACCCTAGCTGACTGAAAAAAATAACATAAACCTGCAAGATTTTAAAATGAATTTTTAATAACTTACTTCCAATGATAGAAATTCATTATTTTTCTCCGTCTGTTCCTATGCTACCAAAGTGGGTAGAAAATAGTAGAAGATAGGCATAAGGAATTTATTTGAGTAGTGTGTACGCTCTGTACACTTTTATATGACGTCACTGGCTGCAGTATTGGTTTTAAATTCAAACAATCAACATTAAAACTCTAGTTATCAAATAAATAAATTATTGTAATTGCTAAAAATGGTGGGAAAATAATGACACGGTTATAAACTTCTAAATTTGTTTTAATCTGTTATATGATAGGATGCTCTCCTGCTAAAAGATAAAATTGTGATGTTGTTACGAATCTCATTGTATGAAAACTACCAAATATTTTAAAACAAAATTTGTTAGATGTCATTAGATAGCCAAATCTTTTTAACCAATTAAATTTCAATCTGTTTTAAGATAAAGTTTATCTAAAAAGAAAATAAAGTTATGCATTTCTAACGGCAAATAACGTAATAAAAGGGTTTTGGTGCTGGAAATGCTTAACAAATCCTAAAATCTTTTTAAATTATAGAAAAGACGACATTCTATGGCTTCCTATTGAACCCAGTTGAGGTGTCTGGTTTTGCGTAAAAATCCCAATGCCTACTTTTTATATTACAAAGCTCTTTGTATGCAACTAGTTTGCAGAATAGTTTTTGATACATGTTTTCTCCATTGTGGAAAAAAAAACTTTCTTCTGCTGGCTGAAAAAACTGGTGAAATATTAAAAATGACTTTACACTCTTATTTAAATATTGTGTACCAAAAAAATTGTCCCATTGGTATGAAATGAATCCTAAAGTTTTTCTCTACAAGATTGCATTCTCAGTTAAATTATGTTACACAGCCGGTCTTTCCCTTTAAAAACTTTGCAAGTTGTTATTTTTAAATAGGACTTTTTTATTCTTTCTTGTACTTGAATTTAGTAATCTAACTAACTTTTTATACAAAATATATAAATTTAGGTAAATTCTATGTGAAACTCTATTTTTAATAATTCATTTTTTACTGAAAAATATTTATTTATTTTTAGTAAAAAGAAAGATTAGTTTTTCAACATTTCTTTGTATTGACAACAAGTTTTGGTAAAGTAAATTTTATAATTCAAGGATCTTCTTATAAAGAATTGTTAATTGAAAATTCAATCTATGTTAAAAATGAAACTTTCTATAAAACGTTTTATCTTACCATTAAAAAGGAAATTTTCTATTTAAAGAAAACATTTTTATCAAAGTTTCTATTTTTTATTAAAAAGTATTTTCCTATCCAACATTTAATTTATCATAAAAAGTAAATTTTCTTTAAGAAGTTCTATTTTATTGGCAAAGCTTCCAACTTCCAAAACTCAAAGAGTTGATACTGTTTGATCTTTTCTTTATACCCACTGAATTCTATTCCTTTGTAGTTTATCCTCGTAATCATCCTCAAGGTTCAAACTAAAATCATTTCCACTGCATTCATTCCCCTCATTCCCCTCATTCCCCTTGTCCTCATCCACATTTGTTACTGAGATCAAGTAGTCCTCTCCTGAGTGCTCGTTGAAATTATCATCTATAGACCTAAATTAAGTTTATATCTGACAAGAGGGTATATATTTTAACCCTCAACCGCCTCTTTATCTGACAAGGGGGTATATATTTTGACCCTCAACCTCCTCTTTATCTGGCAATTGCCCCTTAATTTGTGAATACTAAGTAGTTGTCTATAAACTAACCTAAATTAAGTTTATATCTGACAAGAGGGTATATATTTTGACCCTCAACCTCCTCTTTATCTGACAAGGGGGTATATATTTCGACCCTCAACCTCCTCCTTATCTGGCAATTGCCCCTTAATTTGTGAATACTAAGTAGTTGTCTATAAACTAAGCTCAGAAAAAGGTATAAAAAGAACACAAAAAACCCTTGCAGCTTGAGGCTCCATCTTTATGTTTTAAATGTAGTGCAGCATACTGCAGGATATTGCAAAATACTAATGAATACCACAGCATTCCAAAGGATACCGCAGCATACAGTATGAAACAGCAGCATATCTAGGAGTACTGCAGCTTATCAAATGAAGCCCAGCATATTTAATGTAACCCCAGCATACCAAAAATATCTTGGCATGCCAAAGAATACTGCAGTAGTATTCCTATGCAAATTCAAATCCATCTCCTCTTGAAAGAACTTATTGGAAAAGTAATACGAGAGGAAATAAGAGTAATATTAAATTCCCTTTCTCAATATCTCATGAAAGAATGATTAAATATGATATGAAAAAAAAGAAGTAATGCAGTTAAAATATCCTTCATATTTTCCCTCGCCCCTTTTTATATACTAGTATTTTACATGTTTATTTACCTCTTAAAAGTTAAGATAAAGTGAGAAAAAAAATTTAAATTGATGTAACAATTTTTCAAAAATATTATACTGCTTATGTACGTATCTAATGTTAAAGATGAACAAAAGAAATTTGGACTTGCTGCCTCAAACATTTTATGCTAACCTGGATTTGGATCTTGCTACTTCAGATTTACCCACCAAATCAGCAGCTGGGCTGGAGTCGTTATGCTCTTTAATCTCCATGTTCCAGCTGGCCGAGGGTTGACCAGCCTGACTCTCGCAGATATCAAAATCTGACGAGGATCTCAGGTAGTATTTAGATCCAGCCTAAATTATTTGGCCAATTAGAAAAAAAATAACTCTTAATGTATGGGACAGTGGCAGTTAACATTTACTAGACTTGTCATAAAAACTTAGCCCTTGGTTAAATCTTAAATCTGATTAAAAATGTGGAAGACACCGTCCTTTATTTAACATGAAGTGTTCAACTCTGATCAATGAGGCATTGCCATCTTTGCATGGAGGGTAACTTGAAATTATGCTAGTACACTCCTTTAAAATCCTGCTTTTACACCAATTGCTTGTTAATGTCAAGTTTTGTTCTCAATCTTAGAGTTTGTTACAGGGCTGGAAAAAAAAACAGTCCAGTGGAGTTTATTGGGTTTATTGGGTTCTATAGGATTTTTTGGGTGGTTTTTTGGGCGGTTTTTTTCATGCCAACCCTGGTTTATTAGAGAAGTAAATAGAATTCTTAGAATCTAGAGTTTATCTGCGCAGTATCATACAAATTTTATTTGCAAGGGAGTAATTGAAAGCAATTTGTCCTGTTCTCTAGTTGATAAGTTTAATTTATCGCATTATCTCTAAGGACAATTTATAATATAGCGTTACAAAATCATCATTTTTTTCTTTTTTAGGATCCATCTTTAAAATCTTTATTTTCTTTTCTTTATGATCATACATAAGGACAGCAAACAAACGAACAGAAATTACTATGAACTTTTTTTTCAAAAAAAAATTACTATTGTATATGATTATAGGTGCAGATAAAAGAGATATTCATAATTTCTGATATAAAAAAGAAATTGAGTATTTGTCACAAACTAAAAACTAATTCCTTTATCTTTGCAACATGATGGTGTAAAACTTAGATATTTCAAGCTTAAACTATTTGTTATAACATAATTCATTGTTTGAATTATTGCTTGTGGCAAGGACTCAATTTCTTTTTTATTTTATTAAGATTGGCAAAAGCAGTACGTATATGCAGCCATGTCTTGTTAGACAAATTAGCTTTCATTCTCAATACAGAGCAGAGGCTAATTAGTATGAACTTGATGAGTTGGCATGAGCTAAATAATTTCTTATTTAAAGGAACTCTTCAATTTGAGGGTCACATCAAATTTTAAGCAAAAAATATAGTTAGTTCTACTTGCATAATATTATATTGATTTGTAAAATGTATACAGGTGTGTGCTTTGATTATTGATTAATCTTGTCATATTTCACACTTTTAGTAATAGACAAAATAAAATATTTGGAGTGGAGTTTTTACCACAATATTAACTTTTCAATCTCTATATCTGTGAAACCTGTCGGTGTAAACCATGCAAAGATGGCAATCCCAACCGTACCCTTGAAGCTTTTTTTTGATCAATTATAAATTAGATATCATTATTCATAATAGTGCAACGGACTAATTTCAATTTTGTTTTTTTCTACAAGAGTGACTTACGTTGTTTTTAACTACAAGAACATAAAGGAATTATCTGAATCAAATACTTTTAAAACTAGAAAAATTACAACATCTTTAACATTATTTATCATATATAAGTTTTATTTAAAAATGTAGAATTTTTGTGATGGAGGAATGATGCTTTAAAGGCATTTGTGAGAAAAAAGAAATAAAGAACTAAGAACAGCCAGTAAGTTGGCAATCTATACATTTTAAAAACCTTGCTAAAAATAGTTTATTTTCAACCTATGGAACAGTTACATCTAAATCCAAACTATTTATAAATCATCCAGTAAAACTGAGAAGATTTAGGAAAGAAAATTAATGCTATATTGTAGAATAATAAAAAGTGTATAAAGCAAAAACTGCTGAGTTTCTGGGGGGTCGTAAAAAAATATTTATTTGCACGTAATTTATGTTCTCAAAAATTTAAATAATATTGGGAAAGAATCTTATCTAAGACTAGCTTGGGAACCCAGCGTGGACCATGGGAGTCAACGTTTACGCGCACCTTGTTCTTAATCACGAGTTTAGCTATTATTCCTAAAAAAAGTTGGTCTACTCAACTCAAAATCTCAAAAGCTAAAAACCTTCCTGTGGCTCTCCCGAGTTCTTCAATCAAAAATTGAAGCAAAACGGTCCAGGGGTTCCCGAGTTATGATCGCACAAACAAACAGACAAACATAGTTAACAACTTTATATATATATTGCTATCAATAATTTAATTTTAAATATACAGTGCTTTAAATCAAACTTTTTGGCGAAGTACAAATATTTAATCCAAGGGAAAAAATTGCTTGGAGGATTGTGGAAGAGGGTGCCTTTGACAAAAAATCCCAAATGTGTGACACATTTCGTGTAAATCTAACCCAAGTATCAAATTTTTCCATACTTGATTTTAAAGATTTTAGCCTTTTTTGGGACCATTTTAGGCTAAAATGCTTTTAACTCAGTCACATAAAAGTTTTTTCTCAATATATGAAAGCATTTTTAAAATGTTCTGATTTCAAAATGTTCGTAAAGTTGTGTTTTTAGACCTTTAGAACGTCTCCAATGAGAATTTCTCTGTTGAAGGTAAACAACTGGAACTGTATTTAACAATCTAGATATTTTCATCATCTTGGGATGAAAGTATATATTGGGATAGCAAGTATATATATATATATAAAAAGAAAAAGCTGAAAGTAATTACATTTACATTATATAACACATGTATTTTCCACTATAGAGAATATATATATATTATTTTCTTTATTTAACTTTTTAAAAGAGGTGTTAAGATACATAGATTTAACTTTTCAATAGAGGTGTTAAGATATATAGAGTACACATGTAATTGAATAAAACACATGAATCCTATTGTTCCCTGATCTGGACCGATACAAGGATTTTCCGATCTACTGTATTTGTACTGTACATACACATTTACTCGAACCCTACGCTTTTTTTGCAACAAATCTAGGCTGTCAGAATCCACGTGACTAGCGGAATTGTACAAGTGGGGTTGTTTTTAAATCGTTTTTCGTTTCCTTTTTTATTATATTGAACAATTGGTCACAACGAACGAACCATTCGTTTTGAACTTTTGAAAACAAAACACGAAATGATCTTGGAAAAAAAAACTATCGTTTTGGGAAAAAAATCACTAATAAACATAAGTTTTTTACATTTAATTTAACATTTTTTTTATAGCAAGAAAAGTTTATAAATGTCGTCTCACATGGGTTTCTATATCGAAGGAAATACCTTAATGTTTGCTTGCCTAAGGTTTTTCTAATTACCTTTGCAATTTCAAAATTTAAAATAAGAAACATTCAAAAATGTTAAGTTTGTTCTCTTTTCAAATTTCTGCAGTAGTTTGCCGCACTAACGGTGTGCAATATTCAGGCAAATTAATTTAATTGTTGGCTTCCGTTTCAACCATTAGATTTGCACTCATTTATTTACAATGTATTTACAGAATTGAAACATCCAAAATAATTTTTTCTTTTTTTCTTATTGAAATGAATGGTCATTGCAAAAACTTTCGTTTTTTTTTCTAACAACAAAAATTTATATTTAAAAAAAATATAATTAATCAGAAGTAAATTAATCAATGATGCAAATGAGAAAGTTTCAGAATTTTTCAAAAACATTTTAAGTTACTTGGTAAAGTTTTATTAATGATATATTTTTTTTTATTTTAAGTGAAAACACAGGGTTCTTTATTTTTAAAACTAAGAGGCTTTTTCCATTTCTAAATTTTCAATTTAACCAAGCAGAAGTATAGCCGAAATAAATTTTCCATCTAAATTGCTAAAAATGTATTTTTGCAAAAAAATACATATAAAAATCCACGAAAAAATGTTAACATTTTTTCTAAAATTTTATCCACTTCCCAGTGGACTCACAGAAAAGGACACATGAATTAAGTATTTGTCACAAACTTAAATTTTCTAATCCCTATATCATTGTTTCCTGATGTTGTTACACTTTGATATTTCAAACTTTAATTACTTGATCTAACCTTAATTTTAGTTTGACATATCTTAGGTCTACAACATTCGGTTGCAAAGATTACAAGGATTAGAATATCAGAGTTTGTGGCAAAGACTTGATTTTTAATATTTTTTTTTATAAAATCGTCAAAATCAATCCAGGAACTAACCTCACTTCTGTTCCTTGTTCTTTCTCTCTTCACATGGTAGGTTCTTTTTAACTTGAAGTTGGCCTCGTAGCTCTGCGGGAATTGAAGCGCTTCGATCGGAATCATGCCGCGTAGTTCTCCCATTTCTAAACAACAATACAATCATGCCGCGTAGTTCTCCCATTTCTAAACAACAATAAAAATTAGAATGGCAGAATTTAACCTTTAACCTGATCATTGATCAGGGATGAATGAGATATCCATGTCTTCATAACAAAACATGTTTGACTTTTAATTGCAGTTTTTCTATATAAGTAAGTGACTTGAAGATTATGCTGCACAGACAACGAAGGTAATCGACAGCACTCAACATGTTTTAAGATGGAAAAACAATAATATCTTCTTCAGATGAAGGTTAAAGGGAACCGAATGGGAGATACCACTCTCATAATGGAGGAACAATTTAATTACATCTACAGTACCTTTCAGTAAATAATATTTTTAACTAAATGCTTGATTTACGGTACCGAGAAAACCATTTGCGATAAAGTGGTTTAAAATTTAAAATAAATTAACTGCCACGAAAAAGAGCTAAACACATAAGTCTTCTTTAAAACAAAGTTTTGCTTAAATTCAACTAAACTTTTCAAACTTTAAACAGTGTTTTTTTTCTGATCCCAAAAGAATGAGATTTAACTCTTTATTAAAATGCATAAAGTTACAAAGTAACATTATATTTTAGACAACTTCAAAATATAGAAAACTCCGGTTCAAGTACCGGTCCGACCTTTAAGCAGTAGGAGCAAGCTGTACGGTACACATACAGACTATATAAGGCAAACCGAGACGGTACACCAAATTAAAAATCCCCTTCTTGTAAAGTTTGTGTTTGCTGCATCAGCGCAAACAATAAAGATGTTTTAACTACTTGTGTTTGTGGTTGAAATGGAAAAACAAACACAGTAAAACACCGAAACAATTTTAAAAAAAACGAGCAGCATTTTCTCATTTACTTTTATTACCGAACTGTATTACTCACAATATTACAAACTTTTTTAATTCATTGAAATAAATAATTCTTTTAAAAGGGCTTAAAAGCTCAAAAATCGTATACTTTAGAGGTACAATTTCTCACAAATCAATTTTTGGAGGTGGCTCGGATGATAAAATGAGGAAACGAGCTCGATTGTGCAATTAATGTGGCGGGTTTTTTGATGCTTAGATATAGATTTTTAAAAAAAGAATGTTAGCAAAAAAAATAGGCATAGACAGTACTTTAGGTAAGTATAAGTATTTTGAAAGAACAGTTTATTTAAAACAGAAATCTGATATAAACAAAAATAATTTTTAATATGTTATTAAAAACTATCTTTTCTTTTCTCCTTAAACTATCTTCAAGAAGCCCCCCCCCCGGCCCCCCCCAGTAATAATTGAATATCCAAGAAATGAACAGTTTTAATATTTTACAAATTTTGGGAGATTTCATCTAAAAAATTCATAGATTATTAAATAAAACATTAAACATGACCTCAGCTTGCAATTTTATGATGAATAAAACATTTCCAAATAAAATTATATTTCTTAATTATTAAAATTTTTTCTTGTTATTATTAAATAAGAAAATATTAATAACTTGGCTCTTCTATTTCAATTGTAAACGTTTTCTCTTTGCATACATTGTAAAACAATAATTTTTAAAAGTTCGTGAATTTTCAAATTTTAATGAAAGAAAATCGATTTATGTTGGTGGCTGATTTTTAAAATTGTGGATCATCCATAAATCTTCCCTGGGGTCATGTGCGATTCCACACAAAATTTGGGCCCGATCGGATCAGCCGTTTCGACGTTTATTGGATACAAACATATAGACAATCAAATTATATAGATTCCATCATGTTTTAAAATTCTCTGTTTTTTCTTATCTTCATCTCTGAGAAATGTTATTTGATGTTTTTAGAATATTATGGATAATGTTATCATATCTTTTTACAAAAAGATAATATGATATAATCATATCTACATCTTATTCAATAATATCAATGAAAACAAATATTTTTTAAGGTGTTTTACAATAAACACCCTTTTTATAATTTTTTTATGCAAATCTTCATATCTCACACACAATAATTTTCAGAGAGGGGCAATGTTGTACTTTTTGAGTGAGGATTAAACTTACTTTTATTTTTAGATAGGTATCACCATGGTACTAATGCAAGGAAATTTAATTGCGGTCGCGTATACTCTGCGTACATATTGAAACCAGTTCTCTCTTTTGGCGCGGGGGGAAATAACGCCAAAAAATGGTTGCTGTCAACTGATTTATTTCGCCCCATGGTTATCTATAATTCAATTTTCATTTTAAAAATGATTTTTGTCGTTTAAACCTCTGGATAGTATCTCAGAGTGGTTTTGGTTTTAATTTTATCTTTAGATGGTCAAATAGATCTAGGCTGTAAAGAAAAGTAGTTGCATCAATTTTCATAGACTGGTTCCACCTTGCAGTGTCGCATCGCTTTGGCCTTAAATATTACCTTACTAACTTAGTTATATTTTTGGAAACCATAGACATATACATTTTAGTACTTGATTTAATCACTTGATTTTAACTTGAGTTTTAAAGAAGTAATTGGGAAAATTTTCATCGATTTTTGACTAGAGAGCTTGCAACCTTTAGATCACTGTGGGAGAGAGCTTGCAACCTTTAGATTACTATGGGAGAGAGCTTGCAACCTTTAGATCACTGTGGGAGAGAGCTTGCAACCTTTAGATCACTGTGGGAGAGAGCTTACAACCTTTAGATCACTGTGGGAGACAGCTTGCAACCGTTAGATCACTGTCGGAGAGAGCTTGCAACCTTTAGATTACTGTGGGAGAGAGCTTGCAACCTTTAGATCACTGTGGGAGAGAGCTTGCAACCTTTAGATCACTGTGGGAGACAGCTTGCAACCGTTAGATCACTGTCGGAGAGAGCTTGCAACCTTTAGATCACTGTGGGAGAGAGCTTGCAACCTTTAAATCACTGTGGAAGAGAGCTTGCAACCTTTAGACCACTGTGTGAGACAGCTTGCAACCTTTAGATCGCTTTGGGAGAGATTGCAACCTTTAGATCACTGTGGGAGAGAGCTTGCAACCTTTAGATCACTGTGGGGTATTAATTATGAAATAATATAAATATGACAATGACAGTTTTTTATTCATTTTTACTTTGTTTACGATAAAATATATCCCCTTGAAAAAAAATAACGAAAAAAAATAATACCTATAAAAAAAATGTGCTCTGTATCTATTTTTATAACCCTTCCACCCTCCCCCCCCCCTTATCCTAATAAGGGGGGGGGCTTAATCTTTTTTTAAACAATCCCCTCTTCTCTGGACACTATCCTCAGCCCCCCCCCCCCTGTATACACCCATGCTCTATCTGGGTTTTGAATGGATTACCATGTATAGATTTTCTTAATCTTAGAATTATATATTGTTTTCTCATTACTTCTTTCATGTGTATTAGTTTTCTATATAATGGAAACATCTAAAGAAGTCCATGGTGAAGTTCATCTGTATTTATTACTAAAGAAGTCCATGATGAAGTTCATCTGTATTTACTAAAGAAGTCCATAGTGAAGTTCATCTGTATTTACTGAAGAAGTCCATGGTGAAGTTCATCTGTATTTGCTAAAGAAGTCCATGGCGAAGTTCATCTGTATTTACTAAAGAAGTCCATGGCGAAGTTCATCTGTATTTACTAAAGAAGTCCATGGTGAAGGTCATCTGTATTTACTAAAGAAGTCCATGGTGACGTTCATCTGTATTTCCTAAAGAAGTCTATATTGAAGTTCATCTGTATTTACTAAAGAAGTCCATGGTGAAGTTCATCTGTATTTACTAAAGAAGTCCATGGTGAAGGTCATCTGTATTTAATAAAGAAGTCCATGGTGACGTTCATCTGTATTTAATAAAGAAGTCTATAGTGAAGTTCATCTGTATTTACTAAAGTCCATGGTGAAGTTCATCTGTATTTACTGTTTTTTTTTTGAGTGAGGCTCAGTCGAAATTCTATAAAAATATATTTTAAGGTTTAATCTTTTGTTATTTCATTCTGAGTTCAAGCTAAATTCAAAGATTTAGAATATATTCTATAGAATATTTTATTAGGTTAGGCTACAAAGATATAAGGATTAGAAAATTAAAGATAAAGATTATGTAAAAGTGACTAAATTAAATAATGTGCCACTTTTAATGAAAGCTATAATCTTTCAACTTTAAGTTTCAAATGTTTTTTTCCCTCAAAATTCCATGATTATGTAATCCCCTGATACAATGCTGCATTCTAATGACAAAACTAAGAAGCAGCGAATATTTCTGCTTCGTTTGCTCTCCTCTAAAACAAGATAAATTAACTGCAGGATACAAACAGAAAACAACATTTCAAATTTGTTCAACAAAAATTAGGAAAGAAATTCAAATATTAGTTAGTTTCAATGTGTAAACGAAGGAATTCCAAAATTTCGTTTCCTTATATCTTTTATACCGGATGGTGCAAAGCTTTTATATTTTAAACTTAGATTAAATGATCTAACAGAATGCATAGTTTGAAACATTAAAGGATTACGACATTGGGTTGCAAAGATTGAAGGATTAGAAATCAGAGTTTGTGACAAAAACTCAATTCCATTGTTACGGACACCTTTACTTCTTAAAACTATGAATACTGCCAAAGATTAGAATGCTTGAACCGTGGACATCTAATTTAGCATTGATCCCAATTTTGTTAATCTACAGATCATTTTAATCTGTATTTAATATCCCGTAAGAAAAATTGTCGTTTGTGGAAAATTCAAAATGACCAACCAATCAGAAGCCAACTAATTTTGTGTCAAACCAATGAGACAACAGAGAATTTGCTGATATCCAATCTATAAAGATCAAGCCTGCGTAAAATTAAAAAATGTGGATATCAAGATCTAGCAATTGGGTCAAAACGTAAAATTTGCGTCGAATAATCGATTCTTTTCTGAAAGAAAATAATGTCTTGAGATGTGAGCCAAGATATCCGCCAAATGCGTTACAACTTTTTACCTCAAAAATGTTCTATCTCAAGATATCTTATTTTTTCTTTGTTTTATATTTATAGTGCATCAAGATCAATGTA